TATATATATACATATATATATATATATACATATATATATACATACATACATACACATATACATATATATGATTAAACATGTATGTATGTATGTATGTATGTATGTATGTATGTATGTATGTATGATTAAACATGTGGTAACTCTTTCAGTTCCAGAGAATGAACTTATCATCCCTTAAATTCTTTATAACTTGTAATCTTGCATTCCAAGTATTTTTTTTAAAAAGTTGAAAATGTTGAAAATGTAACTTTTAAAGTCAATATGAACCATAGGTAAAGCAACCCTGCTACTAATTATGTTGACAATTCATGGCCACAAGTTTTGCAAAAGTACAAAATGTCTGTACAAGTTTTGACACACCCAAATATTAACAACTGAGGTGAGTTTCTAGGGTCCAGCAGGTATAGTCTATATAAAATTGCCATATTAAGAATGCTGGGTAGCATCAGGTAAGTTGGTACATGTTTGATTGCTCATCCATCAGCTAATTTGATCTATGAAAAATGAACAAGTTGATTTGTAATTCAGAGTTCATTCTTTGTTATCCCTCCTTATTTGTACTTAGCAGATGAGCAATGTAAATATGTGTACTGTACAAAATGAGTCATTAACTTACATTATTAATTCTGACATGAAAAAAATGTAATTAAATCTTCACTGAAACAGGCACATGGATAGTTGGAAAAAGATTTTATTGATAAATTACACAGGGACCCATATACACAATCCAGTCTCCACATACCACACCTTATCTGGATGAGGGGCTGTCCATAGAACTGACTTGTAGTACAGTCATCCTTGATGCCAACCTCAGAATAAGCAACAGTCTAGATATGGAAGAATTAGCCCTGGCCATTGATTTATTTATTTTGGGCCTAAGGCAGTAGTCTCTCATGTGAGGGACACTTTGGTCTCATGCTTTGTCTAAAAGCTTTTCAGTACTCAAATGGTAGCTACACCGAGTCCCTGAAAAGGACTAGACCCACAATCCATCATTTCAGGCTTACAGTCCCAATGTGGGCAATTCCAACTGGACTAGAATTGAAGGGAAAGGAAGGAGGCATTGTTTCGGTGCCAGCCGAGCCTAGAAATGGGTGAGGTAACTAATTCTTTGGAGTTTGGGGAAGGTAAAAATCTAGCCCAGATAGTCATGAGAAGCAAACCATTGGGAGAAACAGAAACCACTTTGAACATTGCACATCCATACTACTGCCCAGCTTGCTAACTGTGCCCTGCAGGGAGACACGATGTGCAACTCTTCAAAGGCTTTGGCTTTGATTCTGCCAGTCTTTTAAGTGCACTGTTTCTCTAGATGCATAGAACAGGCACCTGTTCACACAGGCTTCTGTTCAGTCTCTGGGTTAAACTGGGAGTCACACCAACTATCTCTAGCTCAGTTCCTTGGTGCAGAGGGCTGATTGACAATTACTTGAATTACAAAGTCTTTCTGGATTTTAGTCTCTTGCAGGCGGGTCCTATCTGTCAACAACTTGCCAGAAAAAAACCAACGTTGCCATGCAGGCTCCAGTTCTTCCTGGGCATAGAGTTGCTTCTTAAGTTGTCCAATTGTATCTGTCATGCTGGCATTCAGACGTAGATCCTTGCCAGATGAGAGGCGCACTTTCAGTGGGAATTCACGGCGGGTATTGGGTGCTGGCTCTGGAGGTTCTGCACCCTCCTCTTCACTCCACTCCATAATCAAGTTAATAGGTGGTGCCAGGCAGTATACAGGAAGTTGGTATCGGTTACCCAATTCATCATAGCACTCAGTAAGTGAGCCTGTAGAGGAATAAATAGACCATTAGAGGGCGTGAGAAGCTTAAGGAAAAAGAAATCACAAAATTATTTTGAGATCATCTTAATTCTAAAAGAAAAACTTTCAAGTGTAAGCTTCCAGTTTTCCTCGCGATAACTTGGCTTCTTTCTGGATATTATTCAAACCTAACCATGGACTCCTGTGCCAGTCTTCCAGTTCTATAGTATGCTCCAGTTTTATCACAAAGTTCTAATATCTCCTAAGTTTTGAAACTAGATGTGCAGCCATCTGTGGACACAAAGTCCACTTTCATTTAAAGTTACTATCCTATGGTATATATGAGGTTGACTAATCTCTAGTTTGAAAGATCACCTCTTGTTTTAGAAGCAAGTACAAAAACACCAGCCTCATGGACCTTTGATGAAACGTCTCCATTATAAATGAAAGATCTGCATCATCACCCAAGATATAAACATTCTTAGGAATCCTATACGACATGTGAAAGGAAATTGGGGGGGGGGGGAGGAAAAAAGCAACTCCAACATTCTGCAGAAGTCAGTCTAACAATGACTGTCCAATGAAGATAGACTGAGACTTAACAGTTGTCTTTGCTGTTAAAGCTAATGTGACAAATAAAAATGTACCTATGTATTCAGGT